CACCTTAGTAATCATATCCATCCCTTGAGGTTACCTAGTCACTTGTTACCACAAAATACAATAATATTCCAAGTAGTTTATACTAGAAGTAAAATGTGCCAAGGCTCCTTAAAGATTAATCCTTGTATTAAACGAAGTTAGGTTTATGTCCAAATTGTAGTTAATAATATTAAACGCACCTCGCATGTAAACTCTCATTACACAGATAGCCCTAAACACACGTGTTTCTCTCGTGATTTTTATATCACATGCTAATCTCTTGATAAATACTAATCCTAACTTGATGGAAAAGTAACATTAACTTAACAGGAGGACTAATTATTACTCTTAATTTTCTTCAAGGGCAATATACTTTTAATAAAATGAATATATATATATAAATATTTACGCTTTGATCAATAGTTTAATGGCTAATGACATATTTTATTTTATCTGCCTTTATCGACAAGGAGGGTCAATTAATGAGGAATGGCTAGGTCCAAATGCCAAAGGAAGAGACGAGGAAGTGGCTTAGTTGTTATACTTGCATAAACTATATATAGGCATTGCCTTTTTATAGACTAAACCACCTTATCACCCTATCCTACCAACTAATCGAATTTAATGTGCTCTTGTTCGTATACTTTAGTCAAACTTGTTAATGTATATTCTAGTGTTCCTTTCACTCGGGCACTACAATGCACAATTAAGTGTATGTTTAGGAATATACTAATAATTATTTTTTAAAGTATTTTTTATTTAAAAATATATTTAAATAATATTTTTTAGTTTTTAAAAATTATTTTTAATATAATACATCAAAATAAATTAAAAACTTAAAAAAATTAAATTTAAACAATTTTTTTTAAAATTTTGATAAAATACGGTGTGGATAATATTTCTAAATGATCTAATTGTATTTAATATGCTTTATTATTTATATTATTATTATAATTTTTTAAAATAAAATAATAAAATTGTTAATTGAGGAATATTTTGTTGGTATCTTTTAATTTTTTGACAATATAAATCGGTTGTACCTTTTTATGTATTTTCTATATAAATGTGTAACCATGCTCAGGGCTTGTAAGAAAAGAGGAATAACATAAATCAACCTCCCCCGTCACCATGGATATGTGAAAATAAAAGGAACCACGATGAAAACACATCATCATTAGGTTGTTTTATCTGCCTGCTGGATTTGTAGGATGTTTAGTAGACTGTGGGAATTAATCGTGGTACGCGTAAACTGGTCCGGACACCCCACGTTAATCAAAAAAAAAAAGAGACAAAAAAAGAAAGACTACAAGTTCTGAAATCTCGAGTTCAAATCTTCTTCTTCTTTTTTTATAAGAAAAAATAAAATAAAAAAGTATTTTTTTTACACATAAGTGTTGTAACGAGAGATTATACTACTGAATTTTTTTTTATTTAACAATAAATATATATATTTGAATCAATTTACTTCAGTTGTATTCAGTCATGTCATACCATCAATACAAAAATTTTAGCATTGAAGAGAACATAATCTTAAGCATAACCCAAATTTAAATGTATTAGCTAAACTGATCTATGTTTAAAACTTAATTAATCTTAATCAAAACTTTTCACCTGCTTCCCGGCACCAATTACAGTGTAAATTCTCAACACACAAAAACTCCCATCTTGGTGACTCATCCATTGTTTTAAAACCTTATCATCTTCTCAAGCTAATCCAGAACACGAGGTTTTGAGTGAAAAAAACAATGAAAAAGAAAATAACTCGCCTGATTCACCTGTTGACTTTTCTTATTGATTTTTTTCGTCAAAACAATTTTGTTTTGTTATTAATTTTAATTTTCTTTGGATCAATCTTTCAATCTCTCGGAATTTAAATTCAAATCTGGCCCTAAATTGATTCCATTTCAGGTTTTAAAATTATGAATCATCATCCTGATATATCTTCCATGTAGCATCTAGATCATATTTATTTTTTGAAAAACAAATATTTTTTAAATTTTTCTATGTTTATTTATTATTAAAAAAATTGATTAACAAAAAAATACTTTTCAGGCAAAGAAAAATTTGACTTGATTTTTAAAAAAGTGTTTTCCTGAAAAAGTTGGACGAAAAACACTTTTTAAAAGTTGTGAAAAATTTAAAAATTTCATATTATTTATTGATTATATCAAATTTGGTGCTCAAAATTTTAACTGCTATATGTATTTTATTTTGAATATTTATTATTCAATTTCATCTCTTAAAATTTAATTTTTGTATTAACTTTGGTCCTCATTTTTATAATTTTTATTTGTTTTTTCCTTATTACTTGTTATTGAAATTTTTTATCTATCAAATTTGATCCTCATTCTTTTCACTATTACTTATTTTATTTGAAATAAGTTATGAAATGTTAATTACTATTATGTTAATTTTTTCATCTTTTATTTTTTTATTTTTAATATTTAATATCTATTATTTTAATTATTATTTATTTTATTTGAGATAATATTTTTTTATTCTTAAAATATCTATATAAAAAAATTTTAATTTTAAAATTATCTAACTAAGACATATAAAGATAAAAATAATTATTATCATAATTTTTAAATATAACTTAGAGGTCGATTCAGGGCAAAGCTTGGGCCACTAGTTGATACTCGAGTCATGGGTCGGGTTGACCCAGATCAATATAAGAATAAAAGTGGTTATTATAATAATTTGAAACCTGATTTGAGAGTCGACTTGGGATAAGACTGGAGTCATGAGCGGTGTTGACCATTAACCCTTATCAATATAATAATAAAAATAATTATTATCATAATTTTAAAATTTAATTTAGGGGTTGACTTAAGATAAGACTTGAGTCATGTGTTGAGAGGGTTAATTCAGATTGACTTAAGTAATTATAAAATAAAAGTGGTTATTATCAAAGTTTCAAAATTTGATTCAAAAGTCAACCAGAGGCAAGAGTTGAATCACGAATCAAGAAGATTAATTTGGGTTGACCCAAGTCAATATAATAATAAAAGTTGTTATTATTATATTTTTAAACCTAACTTAGAGGTTAACTAAGGCAAGACCCAGGTTACTAGTCGAGAATATTAGCATAAGTTGACCCGAGTCAACACATGAATAAAAATTATTATTATTATAATTTTAAAATTTAATTCAAGAATCAACCCGATACAAGGTTTAAGTCACTGGTAGGGAGGGTCAATCCGATTGACCCAAAAACTAAAAATAATCAAAGCGATCTTGTTTTATAATTTTTTTCTAAAAAGTCAATGATTTTTTTATTCAGGTTTTATCTTGGGTTGACCTAGATTTTTTACAAGATTAAATCAAGTCAATCATTCATTTTTTTTTAAACTCAAACTAGTTTAGGTCTCAAGTCAACCAATTGAGTTAGTATTGATTTTATAACTATAGTTATTATAATATTATTAATTTCTATGCTTAATATAAACTAAGTTAAAAATATATCTAATTATTTTTTAAAATCCATATGTTTAAAAACAATAATAAAATAAAATAATTATTATATCTTATACATCACTATAAAATACAATTATATCTCCTTGTCGTTTTTTATCTCCATCTATTCTGTCTATAACCATTAATCAAACACTTCCCTATAAATAATAAAAGGCGGGCAAATCAGGAGAACTCCCTTCCCATTTAAAAAATACTGAAAAAACAACCTCTCTTTCTCTGTAGTAAAAGCATGAAGACAGAGAAAACACAAGTATAAGATACCAAAGTTGTGATTTCCATTCTTTTTTTCAATTTGGTTGCCGAGAAGAGACTATGAATGTCACTTTAACAACACAGAAAGAGAGAAAAAGATTTATAGAATATTATATAAATTAAAAAGAGTGAAAAAAAGGGCTAAATTTGAAGAATTTTTCTAATATTTTGACCTCCAAATGCACATGGCTTCTTGGTGTTAGTAGCTAGCTGCCTAGCTATAGTATTAGTATTATACCTTCTGTTCTCTCACGTTTTGTTTTTGTTTTTTGCCTTTCACATGCCCTCCTTGCTCTCTCCCTCTCCCTCTCTCTGTTAGTGGCTAATTATCCATTGAAAAGAATTGAATCAGTAGTTAAAACCAGGATCCAGATTCCTCATCATTAGATCTACAGTGAAAAACCTTTCCCCCCTTAAACTTTCATTTTCTTGTCTGCCCATGTTGCTTACTTGATCTTCTTTGCTTCTTGGTTGCATGAGCTTTGATTCAATCACCATTCACCAAGGTTAATTGTTTCTTTGTGTTTCTTGAATTCAATGTTTTGGGTTTGATTGGAAGTGTTTCTTGAATTGTTTTGTTTTTGTACGTGAAAAGTGTTTGACAATGGCATGAGTTTGCGCTTCTTGTCCTTTAATGTTGTTTGAGGTGGAAAATGATGCAGCACAAGAAGTCCTTAATGTTCTTATAAATGAGAAAATGTAGACCAAATTCTTTTGCTGTGGTTAACTGATTTAACTTAAAGAATCCCCCTTTCTCTGTAGAAACTTTTGTTGTCATTCGGTCTTGTATAGGGTGTTCTGGCTTTTGTGTGTCAGCTTTTCAGTTCTATATTTTGTTTGGTTTCCTGGAAAGTGGTATTCTTCTCTCTTATTCCTTGCATAATTCAGCAAATTAAGCGATTATCAGAAGTTGAAAAAATTCTGAATTGGGCCATACTGTTTGCATTTTTTGAATTATTTTTTCTTTAATTTTAATGATTTATTTTTCTTTAATTTCAAGTTTGTTGTGATTGTCGAAGTGAAATAGCCTAAGTGCTGTTTCAAGTCTTGAATCAATTGGTTCAATATTTATCAGAGAATTTTGTTTAATAGATTAAACTACTATAGCCAATCAACTCTGCTTTTATTGTATAGCATTCCAGTTTTGCTGTTATTTGTTGCTCTTGCTGCTGCTTCTGCTCCCTTATGTTCAAGATTTTGATGCATGATATGTTTGTAAATGTATATGTGATTCTCCATTTCTGAAGATGTGAGTTTTCTCCAGTAATTCATTTTTGCTCTGTTGGTTCCTTCCCGTCAAAACAAAGTGCATCAGATTTCCTGGTTTTGGATTTTCTACCACTGCCGTTTGAAGATTTTCTTATGCAAGTGAAGGATTTAAGAAGGTTGATGTTTTTCATTGTTTCTGGTGCGTAGAGTGGCGCGAGTACAGTGGTTCAGTAGCCTTTGAAAGATGAACGCATAAATTTGATGTAATTAGTTTAATGGTCTGAGAAATGGAGAATGATCAAATGGAGGACATGGACATTGAAGCCCTCTCTTCAATGTGGCCTGAAGATATTGATAGTTCAAAGCCATATGTAGAGAAGCCGGTAGGGGATCAAGACATGTTAGAGGAGGTTACCATAGTTGAGGGGCCAACTATAGTTGATTTCCATCATCTTGTCGAGCTGACGAATTACACTGATAGGGGCTCTTCTCAGTTGGCACATCTTGTACAGCATTGGGAGTATAAACAGGCAAATGCAGTCCGCCTTCTCAGAGAAGAGCTCGATATCTTAAACAAACAAAGAGAGGAAGTTGAGCTCAAGAAATTGGAGATATTGGAGGATTTTCGGTTTGAGGAAGAAAGATACGGTGGTGATAAACGACAGATTTCTATTTTGGATGAAATATTTGATATATATCAAGATATTCCTCGGAGAAAAAGTGATATCATTGTTCAAAGCAAGAGAGTAGACATAGATGCTGAATTCGACACTGTCGCATACTGGAAACAGCGAGTAGTGCATTTAGAGAAATTGTTGGAGGCCAGTGTCCATAGAGAGGAGTTATTGACAGAGAAGCTACAAGAAAGCATACAGAACTTGGAAAAGCAATCCTCCCCGGTTGAAGAGTTGACACAGATTCTGAAAAGGGCTGATAATTTCTTACATTTTGTACTTCAAAATGCTCCTGTTGTTATAGGCCATCAGGTATTATGAGTAAAACAGACATAATCCTATTCTTTCTGCTTGCCTGTGCCCAATTTCTAGCTAAAAGGTCTGATTTGTTGATTAATTTTTTCAGGATAAAGATTTAAGATATCGCTTTATCTATAATCATTTTCCGCGTTTGCAAGAGGAGGTAAGAAATTGTGATCGAGGCAGGATTTCTTTTTCATTTTCATTGTTCCTCTTCAAAGGATTGCTAGCAGGCTCGAGTCACTGAATTACCTATCTATAATTCTATACTGTCTATTCTATTTTCAGGAAATTATAGGAAAAACAGATGTCGAAATTTTTTCAGGCGCAGGAGTTAAGGAATCTCAAGATTTCAAGAAAGAAGTTTTGGATAAAGGATTGCCTGCCAAGAGGGAAATCACATTTGAGACAGAATTATTTGGTTCGAAGACATTTTTGATTTATGTAGATCCAGTGTTTAGCAAGTCCGGGGAGACGATCGGTATAAACTATATGGGAATGGATGTAACTGATCAGGTAAATCATTCTTTTTCGTGATTTTTTAGAATCTTCTTGATCTTGCAAAAGAATAGACATTTATGCTTCTGGCTGCGAAACAGGTAAGGAAAAGAGAGAAAATGGCAAGGCTTCGAGAAGAGATAGCAGTACAGAAAGCTATGGAAACAGAACTTAACAAAACAATCCATATAACAGGTTTGTTTTTTCGTCGACAATTTCTGTGGTGGTGACTTCAGAAGTTCAATCTGAGTTTGTACCTCTGTACTTTTGCAGAGGAAACAATGCGTGCAAAACAAATGCTAGCGACCATGTCTCATGAAATAAGATCACCTCTCTCTGGAGTTGTTAGCATGGCTGAGATTCTTTCCACCACAGACCTTGATCGCGAGCAAAGACAACTATTGAACGTCATGATATCTTCAGGAGATTTGGTTCTTCAACTTATAAATGACATACTCGACCTTTCCAAGGTTGAGTCAGGTGTTATGAAGCTGGAGGCTACGAAATTCCGACCCCGAGAGGTAGTAAAACATGTGCTGCAGACTGCTGCGGCATCATTGCAAAAGATTCTGACCTTGGAAGGACGTGTAGCCGATGATGTTCCCATTGAGGTAAAAGTTTCATAATGCAAAGTCGATAGACTAACTTTAAGAAAAACTTTAGATGCAGCATTTCTCATGAATATTGTTTTTCTATAAATTGAATCTGCAATATCAATATTTTTGTGCCATTTAGCTCTGTCTGAAGGTAACATCTGTTACGATATTGAATTAAAAAATACTGATCATGCTTTAGTTTTAGGTCATTGGAGATGTTCTTAGGATCCGGCAAATCCTCACCAACTTGATAAGCAATGCAATCAAGTTTACTCATGAAGGGAAAGTAGGGATAAACCTTTGTGTGGTTTCGGATCCATGTTATGGAAAAGCTGAATCTGCAGATCAGTCAACCACAAATGAGCTAAAGGAAGGCAAGCCTACATCATCGTCTCAAAGTAGCAGCGATCGAAAAAGTTTCCACAGTACAAAATACAGTGAAGGTCCATATCCTAATCATTTGCCTAGCAATGAACCTCAAACACCGGTTAAGAATGGAAACACGATGGACGGAGATAAAGGGGAGGAACCTGAAGTACCTGGAACAACAGTGTGGCTTTGCTGTGATGTTTATGACACCGGCATTGGAATCCCAGGTACATTATCAATATGCTTGACTCTATTCTAAAATCATATGCCTAGTCGAAGAATTGAGTATACTCTTGTCTTCTTTTTTCTGTTTATCAACACTCTAGCTGTCTATTACATTCCAAGTTAATTTCTATTGTAGAAGCACTCATTTCATTTCTTATGCATGTCAGATAATGCTTTACCTACTCTATTCAAAAAATACATGCAAGTTAGTGCGGATCATGCTCGAAAATATGGCGGGACAGGGCTAGGCCTTGCAATATGCAAACAGCTGGTGAGTTTTCTGACCACCCAATCTATTTGTGATTTGTACTGTCTGTAATAAACTGAAATGTGTATTCTGAAACACTTTGATACAAACATGCTTTGATAGCTTGAATTGATGGGAAACAGAACATCGTGTGAAAACAGATTTTGAGACAGCCTTCTTACATTTCTATGCATTTGGATTAGGTTGAGCTGATGGGAGGCCGTCTCACTGTGTCTAGCAAAGTGAAATGTGGATCTACGTTTACGTTTATGCTACCGTATAAGGTATCATCAACCTGTGATTCTTCCGATGATGCTGATGATCTTTCAGAGATGGCTGATCATGATGCTCCAATAGAGGATGAGACTGCTGTCTTCTTTCAGTTCCAACCACGTACTTTGGGCTCTCTATTCTCTTCTAATGGATCCACCAGGACTCAAAAATTATTGCCACATAGTATTGGTTTTAGTAATTCCCCTATACTCAATGGATTCTCTGAGGATTCTTGCTCATTTCCTTCTGGGAACGTTAGATTGAAACAGACAACTTCTGTTGAGGATGCCTGTTCTATGGTTGAAGTTGCTGAGACATTATCCGAACCTGAAAGCTCATTTAGTCAGAGTCCAGACCGTGACAACGAGAATGTAGTTTGTAGAAGAAAACAATGTCTAGATGAAACAAAGAGTAAAATCCCTAATGGTACTAAAAACTGCAATAATCACACAGAATCAAGCAAAGTGTTGTCAGGTGACCCGCCAGGGTTGTGTCAGGAACAAGAGAAATCTGCCACAAATTCTGAGTGCACTTCTAGCAGCATTCCACAAGAACCAGAATCAAAACCAAAGCCTAAGATCCTTCTAGTAGAAGATAACAAGATCAACGTAATGGTGACGAAATCAATGATGAAGCAGTTAGGCCATGCCATGGATGTTGTGAATAATGGAGTTGAAGCTGTGCGTGCAGTTCAGTCCTGTTCCTATGATCTCATTTTTATGGTAATTTCTAGATTCAAATGATGTCCACCACCTCCTTTTCTTTGTACATGCTTCTTCTGATGAGTGTAGGTGTGAAAGCAATTTTGATTAAGCTGAATACTTTGATTCTGAAGTTTCAGTAACCATGTATTATACAAATTTTGCAGGATGTGTGCATGCCTGTTATGAATGGCCTTCAAGCTACACAATTGATTCGTTCTTTCGAAGAAACTGGCAATTGGGATGCTGCTATTAAGGCTGGAATAGAGCCATGTGCACCATCTTCAGCTTCAGTACTAGATGGCCAGAGTTCAATTCATGATCATAAGCGGATTCCTATAATTGCAGTAAGCACTTCACTATCAATAACCCTTAAAATCTTGATACCCCATTTCCTCGCCTGACTCACTTTGTAATCTTACTATCCTGAATATTATTGGCCACTTGTTAAATATTATTATCAATCAAAACACAGCAACGTGTCTTGGTTTCTATAGTAGCCGGTTTACGCCAGAACCACTGAAAGATGTCCTTTTTTCTTCTGTCCGTGTACGCTAACAGATTCTGCTGGTGAATGTGCAGATGACAGCAAATACATTATCAGAGAGTGCAGAGGAATGCTATTCAAATGGCATGGACTCATTTGTTTCAAAGCCCGTGACTTTTCAAAAAATAAAAAAGTGCTTGGAACAATATCTACCATGATTTCTGCTGTAAATTTGTGTACAAAAAATGCTAGGAAAGTTTTGTAACCAATGTAACATGTTCTTTGCAGCCATTAGTATATCTCTGTAGAAGTTGTATAGATCCATGTCATTACTTTTTCCCTTCTCCAAGATTATTTTAACATTTTCCCTCAAAGACTAGGTGATGATTTTAAAAGGAAGAAAAGTAAAGAAAACACGAGAGAATTTTATGATAATAGTCTGCTATTGCTGTCCAGACTTCAGTTACTATTTTATTCATTAAAACTTCATTACATTTATTGTAAGAACAAACAACCGCAAATCAGCAAATAAAATCTTAACCATCTAATTTGTTCCTACATACTCGCTCAACATTTATTAGATTATAACAAAATAGAAAAACTAGGACTCCAGAAGGAGTCTTCAACACTCCTTGCTTCAGGAATTTAAAATTCCAATTTTCTGTCTTAGGAATTCGAATTTGCTTGTTGGAAGTGCCTTGGTGAACATATCTGTTAACGGATCTTCAGTTTTACAGTGAATTAACAAACCTCATCATTTTTCTACATCTCTTGTAAAAAAAAAATGGAGTTTCACATTAAAATATTTGGTTTTTCCATGAAAGACTGGATTGTAAGTTGTTATGGCTGCTTGATTATCCACTGAGATCTATGTAATTTCCTTCTAATCCTTGTAAAAATCACATAGAATCTTCTTGAGCTATAATGTTTGGTTCACTACTGCTGTTATTACTATAATTTCAGCTTCTGCTGTTATGAAGGTACAGAAGGTAATGGCAGATGCTCCTCAGTAACACAACTCAGAGAAAAACAGAAGGCAAGAAATATAAAGTAACTCTATTTCCGAAACCCAGTTTAAGCCTACCTAAATCTTAGTAAAATAATCACACTTACATGTATTTTTAATACAGTAATTCCATTTCTTACAATGCTAATGACTACTGGTGTCAGAAGTGTTAAATGATAACCTACAAGTCAATTATTGTCATGGTCTATTTCCAAAGCTGCCGGTCTCTCCTGATTTCGGTTGGTAAGCTGATGGATATCTATTACTATCTCTTGAGGTGGTTCCCTATTTGGGCTAGAATCATAGCTTGCAGAAGATCGATTGGCAGGATATTCCGTGTCGACAGAATAGGCTGATGGGCTTGGCGCACACATAGTAGGCAGACTGATGCCCTTTCTATCATTCAGATCACTTTGTCTGAAAGTACTGGATGTCGAGTCCCTTTGAATGAAAGTTCTAAAGAAGTTTTCAATTCTACTCCATATTGAAGCTGTGGAATCAGAGGACCTCAAGACATTTCTTTCTCGGTAAACAAACATGACTACGAAGATAATGAGAGCTAACAATGCAGCTAGTCCTGCAATCAAAAATAACCCCCAGAAACTCTCCAGACTGAGGCTATTAGATGAAATTGAGGAGCTGGATTCTGGACAAGTGCTTTTTTGGCCAAACCATGCACCCTCTATTTGCTTCATATTATCTCCCTCGGTCACATTTAAAATTGCCCTCGATATATCAGGCCCTAGAGGAGATCCTTTAGGGAAGACCTGAAGTTACAAAAAGAAAGGATACATGAGAAACTATATAAGCACTTATTAGCCACAGAGTAAATGGAAGTAACAAGATAGGAAAGTGAGCTTACAAAGCCAAAACCGCCGGTTTTAAATTTAGGATCAATCATGGTATATTTGGAGCAATATCTTGACAGAATGAGCTTTATATAGGCAAGTTCGTCAAAAGCAGCGGCAATACCACCATTTCCACTTCCTTTGGAGAAAAGATGGTGGCATTCTTCTGCAGAACTATACACCATGAGCTTGGACTTGTCAAACCCCATGTCTAACAAGATTCCTAGAACAAAAGAACCCTTCTGGTAGCCCACATACTCCCCTTTCTTAATGAGCTCACGCACATCAGTGACTGTAGGCTTCAGCTGCTCGACGGTAAGTAGGCTTGTTAAACTGGCGGTGTAACTCTGCGTGAGGATCAACACAACAAAACACCAGATGATTATCACCGCCCTAGACAAGTTGCTAACCACTCTCTCCCCTGTAAATATAAACATAAAGTCAATTTGGTGTTTATATATATATGGAGTGCTAGTACAACAGTAGAGGTAAAATTCACAAGGGAAGGGAGATTACGTTGTGCAAAAACCATAGTTGAGAAGGAAAACCAGAAACTAGTGCCAGCTTGATCTGAAGCTGACCCTCGAAAATCTTCATTTATTCTGTGCTCAAGAACCCAGACCACAAATCCAATGAAAACAAAGAACAGAAAACTGCTCACCCAAAGGTCCCATGTCAAAGGTTTCATGAAGACCCAAGCATTTTTGCTGTTGTTGTCTGCAATCGGAACAATCATGGAGACACCGCTTTCAGTGAAAGGCAAGGTATAGTCGATGTACAAGGACCTGTTGTAGACAATAGTTACGTCTCCAACCACGGCATCATAATTCTGTTGGCAATAAACAAAAAATACTTCAGTGTGAATGATAGCAATGTGATATAGTTACGAGAACAGAAAAGGAGAGAGCAAGTCTTACCTTCAAGTACACTTGATAGGCCAGATCGTTGTAAGTTCCAGCAGGTTCGCCATCAGAGTTGGCAAAGGGGATGTACTCATAAGGCAAAGCATAAGGCAATGCTTTGACTACAGCATCAAAGACATCTATGCAGAATCCGGTGAATGTTGTTGTGTTGGAACCAGGATCTTTTGTTACTGCTACTAACTCACTGAAGCCAGACTTCACAGGCACTCCTATTTTCAACTTCTTCTCATTTCTGGGAATCTCCCAACCCTTGGGAACCACAGTTGTATCCCCAGGAAAAATTATAGTTGAAAGTATGGAAGTTGGAGTTGAATTCATACGTTTACTTATAATTCTCGGATTCAGTGTTTTCACAAGTCCTTCTGTTGGCGTCCAAAATCCAATCCTTCTTCCTCCATTTCCGTTCACATTAACTATCTGAAAAGCTGGTGATGGCAACTGCCCATCAACAAAAAGGTAATCTCCTGTAAGGCCCTTGAAACTAGTGGTCGATAAAGCTGGAAGAATGTTTCGACCATTTAAAGAGATGCCAAGAGTTGCAAGATCTGTTGATGAATTGCTAGAAACATTTGCCTTTTGGAAGCCAAAATTTGTAGTGCCGGCTTTCTCAACTGCCAAGGCCAATGCTGTAGTAGCATCATAGGCCAGTAGTCCATAAATGTTCAACTCAGCATCAATTTTATTTGGATTATCTCGTAGGAATTTCCTTTTCCACCGAGCTCGAAAATGTTCAAGCTCTTTTGTTCGTGGAACATAAGGTTTAATACCCAAAACTCCTTGGATAGTATCGGTGACAGAATGATTTGGTGAACTCAAGAAATCAGCACTCAGACCGTCAGTCATGATCCAAACATAGCCTTCACTCATCATTCCAATCTCTTTTGCTTTGGTGAAAAGCCGAGTGCCTAGAGAACGATACATATGCACAATGAAAACTCTAGTTTGCATTGTCATCAACTTATAAAGCTCCTCAGCAATTTGATCATCAGTGGCCGATGGAGAAATGACACTCCGGTAGGGCACACGAGCATCAACTTCTTGCAGAGCATCAGTTAAATAAGGTATGATTCCCTCTCCATATTCGTTGTCAATGTAGATGGGCACCGCTTCTCTCCATCCAAAGGCTTGAACTATAGCACTTATGGCATTCACTTGAGCTGAATCATTTTGTGTTGCTCGAAAGAAATATGAACTCCTGATGGAAGTAAGAGAAGGACTGGTTGCAGAAAAAGATATAATTGGCACATGAGCTTTTTCTCCAAGGTCAATAACAAAATTGGCTTGCATTGATGTTGTTGGGCCTAAGATTGCTTGCACTTCCACATTTTTTATCAAGTCCAGGGCTGCATTTCAAAAGGGGATTAGAAAAATTAAAGACTTCTGCAGCACAGAACGATCAAGCATAGGATCACACTGTTTCTTATAGGATGATCATTCTGCAGTCACGTTTTATGATCCGTGAGCTCCTCTCTTTTAATTGCTCTACACCTTATGTTGGATTTGGTTAGTGTTCTAATGCAGAAGGGACTTACGAATAAAATAAACATGTATCTATCTCGAATAATTTTATAATAATTTTCTATCATTTTAAAATAAGAAAAACAAGAATATATATATATATATATATATATATATATATATTATCTTTACTTCCTAGTCTTTTCTATTTTAAAACAGTAACTAAACACTATCTTATAAATTAAGAAATGGCATGACTGCAGAACATTAACATGCTTTTGTCTAGCAATCCATGCTGATCGAGCTATATATTTCTTTCACTATCAATCCAAACTTTTTAAGCAGTGCATAAACTTTTGTTTTAACTCGAGGGAAAACTAGCTAATTAACCGGTGAGTGTACATGTATAAAATGAAAATGAATATTTTAAAATATGATTTATATGATTTTTTAATTTTTTTAAATAAAAACTTTGTAAACTTAAAATTTATATAAATTTATATTAAATTATGTATATTTTTTATCAAATAAATAGAAATAATAAAATTCAAACTTAATTAATATCGTATTAAAAGATTATCTTAATTGAATAATTTAAATTATTAAATAAAATTTTAAAATATAATTTATATATTTTTTTAAATAATTTTTCTATATCAACAAACATAATTTATAGATTTAAATGGTAACCACATGATTATCGAAATTGAATGATGATTCAAGTATAATGCAATGATCGGCGTAGCAGGCCTACACAATTAAAAGAGGCAGCAGTGCCAAACTCATCATTATTTTAAGAAGTACATCTCAGGCCGTTAATTACATATAAATAGGTAGCTGATAAGACAGTGAGAAGTTAAACAAATTATTCTAAATTATTAATAATCCAAAAGTGATTTAAAAAAAAGTTTGTTTCATAGGTTAGCATTTTAAAAATGAAATAATCAGAGATCTAATTGATAGCTAGAGTTAAAAAAAAAATTTCTATGTATCGGCTTGTTGGGTCTTCCCATTATTAGATTTGAAAGTTGCTGTTTGAACTAATTTTATTATTGCTATTATATTAGCGCGCCGCGGGGGGCGGGCAGGGCGTGGTTATAGCCACAATTTATGAAGACTTTTGTGTGTTTTGACCCCCCTTATCGTCGTTAGCAGGAAGTTAAACCAGCTAGTGCTTCATTATCACAGTAAGGGTAGGATAAAACGTGTCCTTCTTGGTCTTAATTAAGGTGTTGATTGCTGATAATTAAGCTTCCCAAGACGTTGTCATTTTGGGTTACAATGAAAGGTTGAGGAAGAAATTCCTCAATCAACACCGGTTCTGAGAATGATTATATAAACCGGTTCGAGCGTGAATGGCTTACGTAAACACTATCAGAAAGAGAGTTTGTCTAGATATGTGCAGGTTTTTCTGAGAATACCCTTAGCTTGAAAAGAAAAATATAACAAGCATGCAACGGTATATATATTCTCATATCATGTCAATGGAAGTGCATTTCTATGAACAAACTAGAGATTTGCAGGCCGAGAACCTCATCAGATAATTAATGCAGAATGTAAAAATCTCTACTGTTAAAATGTTGCATGAGCTGGAGGTTAATAACTAGCAGTAAGAAATGGTGAGCAATGATTCATGATAATTGGAGAAAAGAGATGATAATTAAGAGAAGGGACCGGCAGAGAGGGAACCTGCAGCAGCTGCACCAATAACATCTTTCTTTGAGTCCCTGGTGTCGAGGACCAGTCTAGTTTTGTAGTCACCATGAGAGGCATAGAAGTCTGAAAGGGCCATGTTGATGCAGCTCAAAGCAATATTGGCCTCCAAAGAAGCCAAGTCAAGAACCACTCCTACATTCACTGGGATTGTAGATGTTGTGTTCTGGGCCACCCCCATTTCTAAGAACAAAATCATCAAAGAAAGGAAGAAAAAGAAAGATAGAACAGGATTTAAAGAGTATTTTTCCATGATCCTCTTGTTGTCCACCTATGGTTGAGCTGATTCTAGCTAGTTTTCTTGGTTTAAGCTTGGAAGGAAGTGCTATTTATAAGGTGAAACTAAAGCCCTGAAGGAGAAGAGGTTGGACCACTTCTTGAGGAGGGGCCTAAGGAAGAGCTTGGACCAGTTCTCGAGGAGGGGCCTAACTGTATTAGTTTGAAGAAAGGAGAAGATTAGTGATCGTAATTACTATGAAATTGCATGATTTGATTCTTTGAATCAAATCATATTAATAAATTGGAGATGGTTACATGGACGTGGGTCCTGCAGGGGCTACAATTTTACGATAGCGATTTACATTTACATTGAAGAAGAATTTATTGAATTCTTTCAAATAGAACGTATTAAGAGGAATTAGCTAAATTCTTCTTAATATATATATATATATATATATATATGAAGTAAATGTGAGATATGTATTTTTAATATTTTCCAAAAAAAAAATTAATTTCAATTAATGTATAATCTAATTTAAAATGTGTATGTGTATAAACTAATTTAAAAAACCTTTATCATATACAAAAAATAATAAGAAGTCACCAAGTGTGCACCAGTGTCTTATAAGATGTGTATGTGAACTTGATGGAAATAAAATCAAATATGTGTTTAGTATTATGATGTATAATATTTTTTAATTAAAAACATATTAAAATAATTTTTAAAATTTTTTAACATCAGGATGTTAATTACAATCACATAAAAACACCTAAAAACTATTAATTTAACACTTTTTTCGTAAGAAAAAAATTGAAATATACTTTGAAAAAAATATTATAACATAAAAACAAACACTTACTAAATGGCTACACTATTAAAACTAAATACAATATCCTGGCAGATTACTCCTATCCCTAATTTCCTTTTTTAGAAATTATGTCTCCCATTGTAAAAATTAAAAAAAAAATGTCCAAAACACAAATGAGGAGTGGGTATTCTGGTTAAATATTAAAATTATTTAAGAAAGTGTTATTCCGAAAAAGTTGGAATAGTACAATGGCAAGAGAATGACACATGTTGATGTTGAATGTAAAACAGAGGCACCTGGACGTATTGGTCACATATGACAAATTAATTACTTGCCATGAAATCTGTCGGAATTCGCCTTGTTTTTCTGATCAACGGCAAATATCCCTTGTCACTCTTGGTGGTTTGTTTCACCATCGTTTACCTTTGACTAAATCAAAGTATTTGTGATTACTTACTGAATATTCAAGCTTAAATCCCCTAAACTTTTGAGGTGTTGGTGGCAAAGGGCTTCGTTCCGACATCATCTTCTCGAGCTTGAGTTTAACAAGATATTGTTTCATTGTCTTTAGGCTTTGCTAACGGCAGACTCCGGGCCGGCTTTTTCTTCCTTGTTTGAGAAATCATGCAAGACTTTCCTCAACAAGCTAGCTGAAGCTTAAAAAACCAGTGCACCTTACGTAATCATTATTATAAAATATAAAGCTCGCATATTTTAATCATCATAATATATAATCAGTTAACAGAAAGTCAAGTTTTAGAGTAGTGCGTGCGTAATTGTCTATTGTTTACGACAAGGTTCGAATTTGCCAATCGTTTATTTTAGTTGTGGCTTTCTTCGAGGAAGCATCCTTCGTTATGTCACAGAATTTTGTTTTTCAAGACACATCATTGTCTCGAGTAATTGAATCGCGTTTTACACTGCTGCAAGCTTTTTCCTAGCTGCTGCTTCTTAATTCTGCTTCCAACACCCGGCCCCCCCAAAAACAAAGCGCCATAGATGTCTCTGTAGCTTAAGAGATTGAGGTGTTTCTCAACAGTTTACCCAAGATAACAACAAATGAGGTCAAGATGGATTCATATATAATCAAATAATTTAGAGTCTTGAATTGAAAATAATATTATTTATGTTCGTAGATTTTTAAGGAGAAGAAGATATCTCCAACACCGAGTCCCTTGAAACACCAGGTGCCTTGGATGTTAGGTAGCCTTTATTCTTCTACCTGGGGACCATCGAATTGGAGCCTGAATTGGTCTTGATTGAAAAAATAAAAAATAAAAAAATAGAAAACTCAACTTGTTAATTTTAAAAAAAATATATAACAAAACCTCATCATTTTAATTTTTTTTTGAGGTCGACCCTCTTGCCCCTAACTTGTCCCTTGCCCCCTGGTGAACCCTGACATAGTTTAAAAATCATCACTAGCACAACAAGTTTCAAGAAAAGAATCCAAATGATTCTTGTGATTGCTAGGAGGATAAATTAATAGCTGGAGAAAGAAAAATGTATAAAAAAATCAACTTGGATTTTAAATTCTATTGCTTGCTTGTATGCCTAACGCGGGATGCAGAAAGTCAGCTTGGATTGATTGAAGTAATTAATTTATGATTAAGTCCATCAATTCCAGGCTTTTTGGGAGTTAGATTTAGATTATTTTTTAAAGTTATACTAAATGTATTAAAATAATATATTTTTATTTTTTTAAAATTATTTTTGAAATCAGTATATTAAAACAATTTACAATATATAAAAAAATTAATTTTAATAAAAAAATTAATTTTTTTTAAAAACAAAAATACAACTACATTTCCAAACACTAACATTTTCAATCATTAAGAAATCAGTCCCGTTTATTGACTCTTACGAAGGGAATTTATATATTAACTGCATGTTGTCAGAGATAAGCCATTATTTTAGTTCTTTCTTGAGATTCTGAAAGTCTCTATCCTTGACAGAAATTAAGAACCAAACTTAAAACTTGAACTAGCAACTATAAACGAAGGTTAGAAGCTATCAAGAGTCCAAAATATTGTAGCCTTCCATTTTAATAATGCAACTCAGTTTAATCCTTCTCACGCCCTAATAAAATTATCAAATTTCTATTCAAAATTTACCCGAAAGCAGGAACTAGATCAACATACATATGCATATGATGTAGAGTTGCAATTAAGATCATTACAAATTGTTATTACTTTCATTACTTGAAAAGAAAACAGGTAAATATAAATATAAATATCAATATAATTTTTATATCGATAAATTATTGTAAATTTTATTAATAGATTATCGCTTATTGTATCCATCAATAAACATATACAAAAATGAATTGCAATGGGTACATAAATTAAAAACTAAAAAATACAATGATGTATTATTTTTACAGATAAAATTACAAATAGAAAAATTTCATCAATCCCACCCCCTCTCATTTCTTTTTCTTCTTCTTCTTCCTTTTTCTCTTTTATTTTTCACTACAACAAATAACACTCCTTAATCAACCGCCTACTTTAGTTTGTCAGCATTCCAATTCTAATTTAATTTTTATTAAGAATTTTTCATTTCAAATAAATAAAACTATCTATTTTTTTAACTTAATTTTTTAATGTTAATTTTTATTGTAAATTTTTATAATGTATATATTTTGTTTGAATGTTTATTTATTTTATAGCTTTTCATATAATAATTTGTTATATGAATATATAAGTTATACATATAGGAGGGTTTATTTGAGAATTTGTAAAATTATATTTGTGCCTTAAAATAAAAATTCATCAAAAAATAATTTAGCTTTAATGATTTTTATTATGGGACCTACATAAACTCTTTTGATCAAGAGACATACAGGGTATGAGCTGGTTCTTATCATGTATTTTTATTTCATTAGATATGTTAATGGAACCTTTTTGTGAGTCTCCAGTTCACAAAATGCTGCGAGTCCACCTCCAATAGCTAACATTTTAAGAACTTACAAAGAAGAAGAAAACATATGAAATCTTGATATTGATGATGAACTCTATATTGGTGAAGAAAACAAAACGAACTCTCAATATCAACAAATCCATGTTGCTCTTTGCTGTTGGCTATAATGCGACATTCTATAAACATCCACGATGCCAGGAGGGAAAACTGGATCAGTTGCTGCTGTTATTGCAACTTTCACCATGGCAGTAACATTGGCAGGGGGAGTGAACAAGGGTCCAATGAGGTGAAGCTGTTTAAATGGTTTTGCATGTTGGAGAACCTGCAGTGGGATTGCCATTAATAAATTACAATAAACCTCCAAATTACAGGATTAAATATGATATGAATGAATTCTCCTCGTCACATTTCAAGCATTTCTCTCATGTAATCGATGACAAGGCAATGGAACACTCCTCAAAACTTGATTTCTCATGAGTAGAATCATAGCATGCTCCTAAAAGACAAGTTGCAATCTCCATTTATCCTTTTAAAGAGTTAAACTAAATTACTCAAGCGCTAAAGGACTATAACTATTAATGAATTGCAAGGACCACAAATATTGAGAAATTGAAAAGTCATCACAGGGTGCAGAGGCAATGGCTTTGATTGCCTAACCTAAATTTGCCAAAAGCTTCACGATTGGATGTATGCCATTCAAGTGTTGTTTGGGATAACCTAGTAATCTAGGTAAATATACAAGGATGCATAAGAACTAACCATCTATAACAGAGAACCGATTACACCAAGAGGTAACTTCACCCTTCCAACATTGCGAGTTCCATAAATAAACCCAAGCCAGAGAACCACTCCTAAACAAGGAAACGAAACATATTTCATCATATTTATGGTTACTATAATCCATAATATAAGATAAAAATATGCTGTCAGCTACAAAAAAAACACATTTATCCATGATACTAACTAATACATACACTAGCATTCTAAACTGTAAGATTTTGACAATTAAATGCAGTGAAAAGGGTACTAAGATATAAAGGATGAAACCAATATATCATAATAGCATTTTAGATTAAGGAAATTTTACAGCTTTCCAAATTCGAAAGTTTTAGGACAGCTTTCTTAGATTTCAGTTGCTAAGAAGAGTAAAACGAATGACAGATGTATAAAAGGTACAAATTGCAATAATAAAAAGAAAAAAATTACCTCCATATACAAACTTGGTCAACAACTATCATGACCTGAATCTCAGATCCATGACCGGCACATAGGCAAAGTTTCCTTATAAGGTTCTATACCTATGCAAACCCAAACTTACATACAAACTTATCATTTAAATAACTCAATTAGAGTTCAACACAACATTAATAACAAATTAATTTTATAATATAATTCAATTATCTTAATACAAGAGTTAATACAAATTCATAGTTGTGGAGCACTAAACTAGAAAAGGTATTAATTTCAACAAAAGAGCAAGTTCTGAAGGTTCAACAAAAGTAACTTGCTTACAAGCTATAAGCCTGAAAAGATATATAATGAGAGGCTGAGTTCAACAACTTAGTGAGTAAATAATGTTCAATACACACACACGAAGCAATACAACAATGAGAATATATATACAATTATGGCTCTAAGTTCTTATAAGAAGGTTTTTCAAATAGGTCATAACAGAAATATCATAAGGTAAAGCTCGTTAGAAAATCAAAATATAACGAGCATAAGACTCCGTATTGTAGGATGATGAGTCCACACAGGTTGGTGATTCCCGTGGCCAACTAGGATTCAGATACGATTTGCACAAAAACTAACATTGCCATGTTAACATGGGTATTCTGACTAGCATACTATAGATTTATAATCATAATCAAATAAATATATTCATATCTCAAGACTCAACTCATGACATCAATCAAATAAGGAGCTATCAATTCAGAAATCAATTCAAAATACATATTGGTTCATATTAAGAATTCAGATTCAACAATGGATCATGTTTTATCATAACAAGAATAATAATCAATATATATATATATATATATATATTATCAAGAAGCATGATCCAATTCATATTAACAAATCAAATATTTATAATATTTCTCATGCATATGAAAAATTATACACTCACCTGACTCGAAAGCAAACAGAACTTGAAAGTAGATACCGCAGAAAATCCTATTAATGCCCTGCTAGTAGAATATCAGGATTATCTGAATAAAAAGAAGAAATATTAAAAAATGACTTGAAAGAACATACAACCTATTTAATACACTTAACTAAGGGTTTATTCCATAACCCTATATGTTTTTAAACTAAACTAGTAATTTTTTTTCTAAAAAATTAAAATTAAAAAAAAATAATAAAATTAATAATTATTCATTAGATAAACTTTATTTATTCATCAAAGCAATTTGAAAAAAACAATATTACAGCTAGGGACCAATTTGGAATTTATCATATTTTTAAGGGTCAAATTGTAACTTTTGTCAAATTGAAGGACCAAACTAAAAATATCATAAAGTCATGAATATACTAGAATTTTTCCCATAATTCATCCTCATTTCTGTCCAAAATCACTAATTATGCTTCAGGGACCATTCTAGAATTTTTCCAAATTTTTAGGGTCAAATTGTAATTTTTTTCAAATGGGAAGACCAAATTGAAAATGTTATAAATTCATAACTATACTAGAATTCTGCCCATAATTCATCTATCCAAAATCTCTAATTATGCTCCAGAGACTATTCTGGAATTTTTTCAAATTTTTAAGGTCACATTGTAATTTTTGTCAAATGAAAGGACCAAATTGAAAGTATTATAAATTCATAACTATACTGGAATTCTGCACATAATTCATTTTTAATTCTATCCAGAATATCAGATTATGTTTTAGGGACCAATCTATAATTTTTTCAAAGTTTGGGGGACTAAACTATAATTTTTATAAATTAAAAGACCAAACTGAAATTTCATTATCTTCAACCTCAAACCTAGAATTTCCACAGAAAACCTATTGTTATCTCCTGATTTCTAACTCAAAATTCACCATCTACATAAATCATAACTCAAAATCATCATCTTTACCTACAAACTTTTAAAATCAACTAATTAACTCATTACCCCTAACAATCAACCCATAACATTCAAATTAATTTATCAATCAACCCAAAACAAAATCTTTAAAATCCTAATATTAAAAAAAAAAAACTGAAATTTAAAGCTTAAAGAACACACATTTATACATAATCTTACATTTAAACATATTTTCTCCAACTCTCTTTCTGTTTCCCTTATCTTTGCCTCTTTTCTCTTCTTCTTCTTTCCCTTTTCTTCTCTACTCCCATTAGTTTTTCACTCCTACAACATAGCTCTCTTCTATTTTTTTTCTATTTATATTTATTAACTCTTTATTTAATTACTATAATATCCCTTATTTATTTATACCCATTTTTAAGCCTTCAAGAGTTTCTCCTTTTCAGCAGCCTTCTACTTAAAACAAACCACAAGTAAAAAAATTACATGAGGTAATAATGATAAGAAAAGGGGAAAGTAAATATCAAGGCACACTTGAAAGTGTTGATTCTTCTTGTGATTTAACTATTTCATACCAAACAATGTATTATAAAAATCAAACTGTATTTATGTATAATACAAGCTGGTTTTTATAAAGTTTTAGAAAACAGTCATTGTTTCTAGAAAAATGAAGATGAAGATGTGTCATGCCAACCATTAGCATTAACGTGACATGATTCTAGATACAGTACTTGAAATAAGTAGTAATGAAAATTAGTACCTTTCCCTCATAATAACCTTGTAGCAAGTAAATGACCAAGCAAAGTCAGCAACAGAGATGTAAACAAATCTTTTTACACCTACAACAAATGAGCAATTAACTATCAAATCCAATCTATTATAATAAGTTTGACCCCCCAACCAAAACGGGGAAAAAAACATAGAACTGGAACCACCTACTCTCTAATAGGCAATTTATTTTGCAATGGTTCTTTTTTCCCTTCACTGCAATATAATCACCATTTCCCCTCAAATCTTTAAAATTCTTGTAGGTTGCAATGTACTGAAAAGACTCTTGCCAAAAGTCGCATGACGGATAAACCTTTAAAATTCCAATACTTGAATGATGGATAATCTATCTTGCCACGTTGTTGACATGATGGATAACCCTTTTTCAAAGATCTTTCCTTGTTTTGAAACTGATCAGCATTAATTTTACAGCTTGAAGCTTGACTTTTCTTGAAGAATTTATTCTAATCCTCTTTAGAATCTTGATGCTTGGTTTGTAGAGCTCCTTTTACAAAACAATCTTGTCTCGTAAGCCTTCGTTGTTCTTGAGCTTGCAAGACATTTCAAAAGTTCTATCAATATAATTTTGGATAGATCTTTTATGTTCTCTAAAGTTGTGATTGATTCTTCGTATCTTTCAAGCACTGTAACCAGTATTTTCTCAACAATTCTAGAATATGTGGATGTAGTACCAAGTAATTTATTTGAGTGCTATTTGATAGTCTCAAATTCTTTCATTTTTTGTGGCTTAAATTCTCTTTTTAAATTTAGTATTTACATGTCATGTATCCTTTCATCTCTTATATATTCTTCTTTTAGATAGTCTAGACATTCTTTGTTGATTTGAGAGACATGATTCTTATGAAAATGGTTGTTGAAACAACAATAAACAAGCATGTTTTTTCTTTTGCTTTTTTTATTTTTCTTTCTAGATTTATGTTGAACAACCAGCTAGATTTATGATTTAGGGATAAAAAATAGAGTTTATTTGCTAAAAAAAACTTTTTATAGTAGGCTTTTAATCTAAGTCTTAGTTGGATTATTTGGTAATAGAGGAACATCATAATCTGCATCAACAACTTCTCAAAAATCTAATGCCTCCAAGTAAATTTTTATTTTCACAGCTAAAAGTTGATAATTCTCCTCATAAAAGACAAGAGGGGTTACATGAGAGAAGTTTGAAAAAGCTTTCATTATAGGTCCCATAATATAAATTGCTCTTGTATCAAGAGCAATTAATGATTTTAAAAGGAAGAAAAGAAAAGAAAACAGGAGAGAATTTTATGATAATAGTCTGCTATTATCGTACAGACTTCATTACATTAATAGGAAGAACAATCAACCGAAATGCTCTAATAAAGCATCAAATCAGCGAAAAAAATATCTAAACTAACTAATTTGTTCCTATAGAGTAGCTCAACATTTATTTGGTGATAATAGAATAGAAAAAACAGGACTCATGTATTCCTGAAGCAGTCTTCAACACTAGGCAAATCTCTGGGTTCTTGTTAAGTTAGGCCTTGTAAGAAAAGGCAAGAAGTCTATCACAAATATGAAGGTACAGAAGGTAATGCCAGAAGGCAAGCAATATAAAGCAACTCAATTTCTGAAACCCAGTTTAACCCTACTTAAATCTTAGTAAAATAATCTCACTTACATGTGTTTCTAATACAGTAATTCCATTTCTTTACAATGCTAATGACTACTGGTGTCTGAAGTGTCAAATGATAACCTACAAGTCAATTATTGTCATGGTCTATTTCCAAAGCTGCCGGTCTCTCCTGATTTCGGTTGGTAAGCTGATCGGTCTCTATGACTACCTCTTGAGATGCTTCCCTATTTGGACTAGAATAATAGCTCGCAGAAGATCCATTGGCTGGATATTCCGTGTCTACTGAATAGGCTGATGGGCTTGGCACACACATAGTGGGCAGACTGATGCCATTTCTATCATTCAGATCACTTTGTCTGAAAGTACTGGATGTCGAGTCCCTTTGAATGAAAGTTCTAAAGAAGTTTTCAATTCTACTCCATATTGAAGCTGTGGAATCAGAGGACCTCAAGACGTTTCTTTCTCGGTAAACAAACATGACAACGAAGATAATGAGAGCAAACAATGCAGCTAGTCCTGCAATTAAAAATAACCCCCAGAAACTCTCCAGACTAAGGCTATTAGATGAAATTGAGGAGCCGGATTCTGGACAAGTGCTGTTTTTATCAAACCATGCACCCTCTATTTGCTTCATCTTATCTCCCTCGGTCACATTTAAAATTGCCCTCGATATATCAGGCACTAGAGGAGAACCTTTAGGGAAGACCTGAAGTTACAAAAAGAAAGGATACATGAGAAACTAAGCACTTACTAGCCACAGAGTAAATGGAAATCACAAAATAGGAAAGTGAGCTAACAAAGCCAAAACCGCCGGTTTTAAATTTAGGATCAATCATAGTATATTTAGAGCAA